TGGTTACCAGTTGCGCTGCCAACTGCAAGGTCATGCAATGGAAACCACCGTGAGCGTGAGATGGGACTTTCCTCTCCTGCAAGAAGTTAGTCTCATAACCTCACAAGAGCAGTTCTCCCCTTTCCTATAGGTTTGCTATGGGTCGACATTGACCCAATGGCAGTGAGTTTGTGGTTTGTGGTTTCGAGAACTACTCCACAGGGCTTCCTTGCAAGGCTGTCCACCTTTAGAAAGGTGACGAGCACTGCTTTCCTCAGCACAGGGGCTGGTGGGCTCAAAGCACTGACTTCTTGGTTGGCAGATGAGCTCTTTAACCACTGCATACCAGGCTCCTTTCACAGGCCATTTTGCAGCTGTTTAAATGTTTGTGGGACGAGAGCAATGCTTAAGAGACCTGGGAATGACTCTTTTCCTGTTCTCCATGAAACCACTCTGAGGAAGATAAGGAAGACAATATGGTACAGAGGAAAGAGCTTGGGCTTTAGAAAGAAGCACAGACTTGGGTCTGAAAGGATCCTGGGCAAGCTCTTGAATATTTATCAGCAATTAGAGCAACAACAACAGGAGCAAGGCTCCTTTATTTAGGCTAGCTACTTATAAAATACTAAGCATTTTAGTGCCTCCAACAATCCTATGAGAAATGCTGTACTGTTGCTGAGTAAAGGGAGGCTTACAGACAGTAAATCACTTGTTTAATGTTACACAGCTAAGCGATGGGGTCAGAGCTCAGGATGGAGTCAGAACTCAAGCACAGCTGCCTGCCTCACAGCTCATGCGTCCCCTCCACACTATACTCCATTGTCTCTTGCAATGTCACATCCTTTGCACAAGATGCTTTGAGTGGGCTCTCTGGCAACATGGTAGGCTGGCATGTCCTTGCTACGGAAAACCGTTAAAGAGACACGATCCACCGGTCTGTGTGAGAAGGTGGGGATTTAGAAAGGTAACTGGAATTCTGAGGGCATTTGCCAAACGGGTCACACAGAGGATTGGTTTCTGTGGTTCCCTGAGCCTTTGTGAGGGTGAGACTCAGGGAACGAAACTTTCCCAGGAGACACATGCCTGCCACAGAGAGCTAAATATCATGAGCATTTTGATGAAGATGCTTTCAGAATTTTCCTAGGCATATATATGGTGATATATAGATAGCATTTTACAGAACTGTTAAAGCAGCCACCCTGCAAAGAAAATCTATCATACACCAAAAACATCACTGTCAAAATGCCTGCTCTCCAAAATAACGTATCGATATTTTGTTGTTGCCAGGTAATGGTACAAATACCTTACAGGAAGCAGAGGTGCATTTTATTTCTCGAAGCATGTGTAATTCTGAGAAGAGTTATGGGGGAATCATTCCTAACACTTCGTTTTGTGCAGGTGATGAAGATGGAGTTTTTGATTCTTGCAGGGTAAGACCAAATAATTTTACTTACTGTGTTAGTCTGGGTAGACTAGACAAACAAATTCATAGACACTCATATGTATGTAAGAAAGAGGTTTATATACAAGAGCAATTGAATGTTGAGAAAACATCCCAGCCCAGTCCAGATCAAGTCCAAAAGTCCATTATTAGCCCATATATCTGACACCAATCTATAAAGTCCTGTTCAGAGTCACTAAACACATGCAATGATGCTGAATGCAGGAAGATCACAGGCCAGTGGGTGGGAAGTCTTGTAGATTCAGTGGCATCTCAGCACTGGCAGGGGTCTCCAATTGGCTTCTCCAGGTCCAGGCTTCTGGCTGCATCAGGGTAGGTCCATGTGACTTCCTCAAGGATGTTTTGCAGGGAGTCAGCCTTGTCAGTAGAGAGTCTCCAAGGAAGTGAGCAGAGACAGACAGACAGACAGATAGACAGACAGACAGACAGAGAGTCTCCTGCCTCAAGGGAGGAAATACAGGAGTTCTCAGCACCCTCAGGAGAAGTCCATGCCCACACAGAGGCCTCATTGCCTATGACCCGATTGGCAGACTAGACTCCACCCCTTCACTCTTAATCCTCTCAAGTCCAAAATTGACACCAGATTATGTAACTACCACACTTACAAATATTTTCAAAGGCCAGAAGGAAACTTGACCCACTTTTTTTTGGGTTAAACTCTTAATTATCATGTCTAAAATGTTACCTTCTTCCTTTTAGTCTTTTGTTTTTTAAAATATTCTTTTTCTTCTCCACATTCAAATCCTCTTGCTTTTCTGATTCCTTGATTTCTACCATTTGAATCTTTCTCTCTCTTTTTCTCTTCTTAAAAATATCTTATAGAATTTTAGGTGAAAGTTTACCAAATTCCCATGCAACAATTCATATACAAAATGTTCTGTGATGTGGGTTACAATCCCTGTAATGTTGTCCACACTCTCACCATTCACACCCTGCCTGCCCGGTGTCCATCCATCTGGATTCCCTGCCCAGCCTCTTTGCTTTGGATAAATGTTGACTGTTTGGTCTTGTATAGTTGATTGTTTCAAGGTGCACGTTTTCTCAGGTGTTACTGTTTATTGTATTACTTGCCTGTAAGGTGACCTCTGGGTGTGTCTTTGGTTCCAGGTAAAAAGGGTATTTTAGGGTGACATTCTTGGGGATTCCTCTAGTCCCTACCAAACCAGTAAGTCTTATCTCTGTTAAGAAGTTGAATTTGATCTACATTTTCTCCCATTCTAATGGGGGATCTTCTTTTGTGTCCCTAATTAGAACAGTTGGTGGTGGTAGCCAGGCACCATCTAGTTCTAGGTTCAGGGTAGAGGAGTGTACAGTTCAAGTGGCCATTGGTCCTGTGCACTAATTTCTTCCTTGCATCTTTCATTTGACTTCTTTCACTTTCCTTTGCTCCAAATGCAAGGAGACCAATAGTTGCGTCTTCAGCAGCTGATTGCAAGATTGTTTAAGTGGAGTGGAGGGTGTTGGAGGCCAACATTTTAACATCTAGTAGCAACATCCTCCTAGAGAGAGGATTAGTATTGTTCTAAACACCTTGGTAACATTTTAAAAAATTGTGATTTGAGCACCAGTTGACAGAATAAATTGTTTTTCCGTTCACTAATTCCTACACATTTGTATTTGTGACATTGGCTGCCGTCCCTGCTATGGAACCGCGCTCTTCCCACTTCCTCCCTGTTTGCCATTGCCCTTCATCCTCTCTCCTGCACTTTCCTGCCCTCTGCGCTTGAGGTCTGGGCAGATGCTGCCTTTAGATCTCAGACGGTTGATTGTTCGAATGAGGGTGCGCCCCCAGTGTCGTTGTCCACCTCGCAGGCCATCATTTGGTTGGAAGTTGAGCCACAGGGTACATTCATGTCCAGGCCTGAAGGGTCTTTAAGGCCATAGTCTTAGGGGTTCCAGCAATCTCTAGGAGACCGTGAAGCCTGGTCCTTTTTGTATGATTCCGAGTTTTGTCTCACATTTTTCTCCCACTCTCTTCTGTGCCTTCTGTTATGATCACCAGCAATGGTTGCCTGGCACTCATGAGCTTTCAAGACCCAGATGCTACTGACCAAACTAAGATTTAGATCATTCCCTTTGTGGACCAAGTTAGGCCAATTGACCTAGATGTCCCCTGAGATTACTGCCGCGGTCCAGCCGCGGCGGGGTGAAGGGTCCCCTGTTCGGTGGGTAAGGCGTCGACGTGAGAGGGAGGGATGAGCAGAGTCAGGAGTCAGTGATCATCTTCTGCTTTATTACAATTTTAAGGTTCTATTTAAAAAATATTTTCTGACAATCATACAATCAAAGCGGAAAGAAAAAATTCTAATAATAAAAGGTGCAAAGCATAGAGTTTTCCAAGACATTCTGTTTAAATCTTCTCGGAACGTTCTTTCTGAGTGACTGGTTCATTTAAGTTTTCAATCTTGACCAACGTACATTGTGATTAACCGTAAACATGAATAGTTCTTGAAATAGGTCTGTAGTAATGGTGCCAAACAGTGTTCAAGTTCAAGAAGTGGATAGGAGGAAATTGGCATGAACTTGAAATACAAAGTTCTAAGTTAGCTAAATATTCTTTCTATGCTTCATCAATTTTACGTTCTTTAAGCCTTCATTCCATTTCTTTTACCTGCCTTTTCAATGGGGCTTTCACTGTTCTCTTGTTTCCATTATGCACTAGCTACACAATCCACTCTGTAATAACATTTTTGTACACCTTATTTGTCTTTAATAGATCTAATGCACCAAACTTGGCCACCCCCTTTTATTCTTTCCCATAAAAATAAGGTTAAAAATTTTACACGCTTCCATTTACCTCAATAATATGTTCTCCATTGTTGTCATAAATGCCAGTGTAATTCAAAGGAGGGAGAGTGGTCTTAGGGGTTTTTTCATTACTGTCCCCTTTACTATAAGCAAATTTATTAAGGGGCTTTACTGAGTGAATTAATGGTTGTTTCTTATCTTTGGCACTCTTTCCCAGAAAGGCAGTCATAGGGAACTTCTCGGGAGTTACTGTAGTCAGTTGGCGTTGTTCCAATTCTAACTTTTGCATTTTTCCATAAATATACCAAAATCCTCATTCCCTTGTATGGCTTTGATAATTAACTCAGTCATTCTATCATTTGCATCCCTTCTCTTTATGGGTACTGTGATTTCCCCTGAATTATTCATCGTGGTCTCATTTTGCTCATAGTGGCAATAATGGTTTCATTTTTACATGGTCCGGGATAAAGCATAAACATACTCCAGAATATCGTAGTGGCAACAACAAAACAATTTGTGAGCAGATTCCAGCAACCAATTCCTACAGTCCGACTTCGTTGAAGTCGGGCCATCTGTCGCTGGACTTTGTCCTCAAGGTCAGCCGGCAGGAGTGGTCCCATCAGATTACCATCTTGGCTGTTCAAACCCAATAAAATAGGGAGTGTTTGGGTATCTCTAGGAATTATCTTGAGCTGCACCCCCTATGCGGTACTGATTAAAACTCAACTCACTGCCATTGAGTCAATTCCAGCTTGTAGGAAGTCTATGGGATAGAATAGAAGTGTCCATTTGGGTTTCCAAGATGGTAAACCTTTAAGGGAGCAGCCCGCCTCATCTTTCTCCCACAGAGAAACTAATGGATTCAAGTTGCTGACTGCAATTAGCAGTTCAATGCATAAACCACTATCTTACCAGGGATCCTTTTGTGGTACTTATTTATTATGTATATGAATATATATGCAGCACATTCAAACATATGTACAAAAATATACCCATGTATGCGTGCACATGTACTTCCGTATACCTTCTCACACACGTCTTGCATACATATCTAACTATACAACCACTCACATATTTTTCCTTACTATTACTGTTGTTGAAAAAAGAGTAAAGTTTACAGCCTATGTTGGTGAATACCAAAGGGGTCTTAAAAGCTTGTGAGCAGTTTTCTGAGGCACAAATATTGATCCGTCCCTATCCAGAAGGAGAGTGATGAAAATTGAAAGGCACATGGAAACAATTAGTCCAATGGACTAATGAACAGTGCGATCATCAGTCTCCACAACCCTGAGACCAGAAGAACTAGATGGTTCCTGGCTCCTACTACAACCTGCTCTGAAAAGGATCACATTAGAAGGACCTGGGTAGTGTGGGAGAAAAATGTGAAATAAAACTCAAAATTGTAAGAGAGATCAGGCTTACTGGTTGGGTGGACCAGGCTTCCTACGGTAGTGGGACCACTAAGACTATGGTTTTTAGTCACCTTTCAGGTCTGAAATCGAACTTACTTCTGATTAAGGAAGAATGGAAGCAGGACGCACAGGGGAAAGTATACTAAGTGATGGTGCATTAAAGGATGCCGATGCTCTGTCAGCCTTCAACTAACTCACAATGAAAAGTTAGAAAAAAGGAAGATGCCATTTCCTGCAGGACCCCAGCTTACTCTTCTCCTCTCACTAGCAAACTACACTCATTCAGAAAACTACACTCATTCAGAAAAGAACCCTTCATACGTGCTTTTCACATGATATTAGCAACAGAAGTATTCCAGTAGACAGTACTCTGTTTTTTTAGACACTCTCTGTTACGTTCCTCCAGGATGTTGGTGTTTAAAAGTCCAAACAGTTTGATTTATAGAGTTCCTTGTCAAAGGGATGCAGATGGGAAGCTTCCCCACCAGCTGTGTTTCCTGCATGAACCAGGCCAGATTAAATAGCCCCTGTTTTTGTTAAGAAATTAAATTCAAAATCGATGGTTCTTTATAACTCAGAGGAGTGTTACAAATGCACACTTCTATGTATTTCTATGTGCTTCTATTATGTTCTGTAGATGTCTAAATTTTTTCCAGCTTTATTGTTGCTTAAGGAATAATAGAAGTAACTCATATTATTTTGGGACTTTTTTCACAGGGTGATAGTGGTGGACCGCTAATGTGCTACTTGCCAGAACAGAGACGCTTTTTTGTAATGGGAATTACCAGTTACGGACATGGCTGTGGTCGAAAAGGTTTTCCTGGTGTCTATAGTGGGCCCTCCTTCTACCAAAAGTGGCTGACAGACCACCTCTACCAGAAAAGTACCACTAAAAGCAGATCTAATAAAAATATTTTACTCGGGCAGGTCCTCATAGTCTTACTTTCTGTTGTCTTACTAGTAACTACATAAAAAATCTGAAGACTTTAATAACTTTATTTTGTATCGTGTCACTTCCCACCCTGTTCCGCATAAAGAAAACCCCTTATTCTTTCAGCAACAATTGCCCACTTTATTGTACTCATGTGAGCCTTTTTTTTTTGGAAGGAAAGGATTGTGTCATATTAAATATGTGATTATAAGTTTGACTGAACCACATACTTCTTTGATGTATCTTGATTATTTTGCTTTATCATCATAATTTTGTATTTGGAATAATTTCACAAGTTTTGTATATAATATCTAGTCAAAGACATACTTTATATGTGTAAATGCCAGCTAATAAAGAGTGTATAATGAATATGAAAGTTGCTCTTTTGTTAAATTAATAAAACTTTCAGGTTAGAACGTATTTTATTCAAAAATGCTTGTTTGTATGATTCCCTGAAATTGTCATCTCGTTTGCAATCTCAAAGGATATTTGGTGAAATAAGCACTTGTCTATGTAGACTCTAGTTAAGCCAATTTACTCAATATATCGATACTTTGTTTCTTATACAAAGAACGAACTGTGACGCAGACCCCTGGATCACTGAGTTTTCATTCCTGTCAGTTGTCATTGAGTGGCTGTGACTCGTGGTGACCTTTTGTATTAGACAATGATCTACTGCTCAGTTCTGCACCAATGTCATGATTGTTGGCGTGTTTGAGCCCATTGCCACAGCTATTGTGTCAACACAACTTATTGAGGATCCCCTGGGCTTTGTGACCTTCCACATTACCAAACAAGAATCCCTTTTCAAGCAATTGGTCTTTCCCGATGATGTGTCCAAAGTGAGTTAGTCAAAGTCTTGCCATCCGTGGTTCCGAGGAACATTCTGGTTGTATTTCATCTAAGGTGGATTTGTTTGTTCTTCTGGCAGTCAATGATATAGTCAGTATTCTCACTGACACCCCAATTTGAGTGCAATTTTGAATGTAACTAGTATCAGAATCAAGCTATAGGAGATTTCCATTAGCTCAAAAGTTCTCTTGTGACCTTTCCCAGGAAATACCCCCTCTGGCTCCAGGCATCCACCCATCCACATTTATTCATGGTAGATCTTGTTGGTCCTTCCCAGAGTTTTATATAAATGTCATTCTATATCATGTTCTTTTTAGCTTGGCCTTGTTGAGGTAGTTAGTTTATTGTGCCAACCTGGCCAATAAACACATGTGGGGTTAATGGAAGGGCAGGGATAAATGGCTGTGACCTCACCTTTCTAGTTCTTGGGTCTCTTGCTTTGTGATGGTCGGACCAGGTGCAACTGCCTTAGCCAGTTCTCTGCTTCAGCTTGCAAGACTCACTTCCTGTAAGACATCCCTGAGAAGAAGCCATATGGACCTAGCCCGATGCAGCCCTGGGTGCTGGAGCAGCCGTGTGGAGACTACTGCCAGTGCTGAGATGCTTACACTTTCACTGATTCAGCTTTCCTCCTGCAGTCAGCATCATACTGTGTTTTGTGAGATGGAGGAGGACTTTGTGGATTGGTGTTGGACATATGGGTTAATTTTGGAATAATGTTGGACTTGTGGGTTTGGGCAGCATTGGGTTGGGATGTTTTCTTCATGTGCACTTACCCTTTATATAAAACTCTCTCTTATACATGAGTTTGTGTGGATTTGTTTCTTCAAAGTACCCAGACTAACACACTTGTTAACTTAATAGAATGTTCCTGAGATTCTTCTGTTGTTTCATCCAGCAGTAATTATTCCTTTTTACTGCCGGGTAGCATTCAGTCATGTAACTAGATCAGAATTTGTTTACCTGCCTTTTCTTTGATGGACATAGGGGTGTCGTGTTTGTCTTCACCTCTTCTATGTCATCAAATTGCTGTCCTTTCCTGTTCCTATTCATTCTTGGAAACAAAAAGAAGTTACATGGAGCAAAGTAAAGTGAGTAAGGTGCATGGGGCGAGAGAGACATGTTGTTTTTTGCCAAAAACTGGTGCACTGAGATGGTTGTAGGAGTAGGTGCATTGTTGTGGGGTGGGGGTGGGGGGAAACCAGTCCCCAACACAGGACCATCATCAGGGCTTATTAGGGAGAATTTTAAGAAAATGGGAGACTGCACTAGTGTGAAAACAGGCCAGTAAAGTTGCATCAAGGAATTTACTTTCACATCCACAAGATACCAACTTATTCTTCAAGCATGTCAAGAGCTGTCCTAGAGAATTTTGTTGTGAAGACTCACCCCATCCACCCCATAACACTGATCTCTGCCCTTCAGGTTTTTCTTTTGTTCCCCAAATGCAAAAGAACATTGCAAAGGCACACAATTTGAGTTCCTCGAGGATGACAAAACTGCTATTTTGATGTGCTTCTCCTGTAAAGAATTAGTCTTGAAAACCACAGGGGCAGCTCGCCCATGTCCTATAGGATTGCTATGAGTTGGAAGGACTTGACAGCAATGAGTCTGATTTTAAGACCTTGAAGACTACAGAATTCTTTAGGGAGGGTTAACGAGATGGAAACACCATCTTTATGTTCCCACAATGATAACCCATTTAATAACAGAGAACAACAAAGGCTGGAGAGGGTGCCGAGAGATTGGAACTTATGGCAGATACATAATTTTATATCACCTTGATAAATAAGTGTAGGGGTGTGTTAGGCAGGGTTCTCTAGAGAAACAAAACTAGGACATTGTGCAACTCACAAGTTGAGGCAGAGAACTAGCAAAAACAGCTGCACGCTAGTTGGATCACCAGAGAGCAAAAGAGAGGGGTGAGCCTTGCTGAGCCATTTATTTCTTTGCCCTCCAGTCAAACTGTGACCTGATTAATTGTGGGGAACAGAAGGATTTCTCTTAAGCTGTCTCCCCCAAAAATATGTCTTGAGAATGACTGTACACTAGGCAGTCAGCGAAAGTAGGTCAGAGGTTATTCTCCTTAACAGCCATCAAGAGTGGATTGGGAGTCATTCTCACTGAGAGGTATCAGCTGTCTAGATCAAGCAGACTTGATCAGAAAAGATACACAAGTGTCAGCAGACAGACCTGGACCTATCTATTTTTTTTTCTTGTTTTGCTTTCTGGTTTGTTTTTGTTCTTGTTTTTCTTTTGCACTATGTCTATATATAAGATAGGCAGGACAAACAATCCTGAGGAGAAAACAATGGGACCAGTGGTTCCAGGGGACATGGGAGAGGAGGGGGCGGGGAAGGGGAGTGGGGAGCCAACAAACTCAGGGATAAGGGAACAACAAGAGATCTAAAATTGATGGTGAGGTGGGTGTATAATGCCTGGTGGGGTTTAATCAAGTGCAATGTATCCGATAGGAATAAATGAGAACGGAATGGAGGGTGAGCATGATAGTGGGATAGGAGAAAGGTGAAAGGAAATAGAGGAAAGGAATAGGAGGCAAAAGCTATTTATAGAGGTATAGCTATAAGCATGTATGTATGTAAATATACTAATTTATAATGAAAGGGATAGAGGCCAATGTACATATACAATGTACGGACTTTGGACCTCTACTCTAGGCCTCCCTTAACACAAGAACACTTTGTTCTAATAACCTGACACTCTTTGATACTCACCTTCCCGACACCATCACTGAAGACAAAATGGGTACATAAGCAAATGTGGTGAAGAGAGCAGATGGTGCCAAGCTATCATAAGATATAGCATCTGGGGTCTTAAAGGCTTGAGTTTAAACAAGCAGCCATCCATCAGGGAAGCAAATAAGCCCACATGGAAAAAGCACACCAGGAGTGTGATCAGGAGCTGTCCACGGGATCAGGTGTCAGGCATCAAAAGATTCAAAACAAACAACTATTTCTATGCAAAGAAAGGGGTTTGGATTGGAGACCCAAAGTTCATCTGTAGATAATTGGATATCCCCTCACAGAATCATTATAAGGAAGGGATGATTCAACCAGGGTGCAGTATACATCATTCCTCTACTTCCTGAATGCTTCCTCCCCCCTCACTACCATGACTCAGTTCTGCCTTACAATCTGGCTAGACTGGCTCTTGACACATGGAATTCAGGGCAGACAGACTTCTCAGGAACAATAGTGGGAGTAGGGATAACACCAGGGAGGGGGGATAGTTGGGGAGGGGTGGGGGGAGAAAGGAGGAACCCATCACAAGGTTATATAGCACCCTCCTCCCAAAGAGGACAAATAAATGTGGGTGAAGGGAGACAATGGACAATGTAAGATACTAAATAATAATAACAATATATAAGTGATCAAGGATTCACGAGGAGCTGATACCAACGGCTCAAGTAGAAAATGTTTTAGAAATGATGATGGCAATATATGTACAAATATGCTTGACACAGTTGATGTGTGGGATGTTATAAGAGCTGTAAGAGCCTACAATAAGCTCTCTGCTCCTCCTCGTGCGGCAGGCAGTGCCCCTCCTGGTCCATGCAGTCCCAGCCACATGCCTGAGACACGATGATGAAGGTCGGAGTGAACAGATTCGGCCGCAGTGGGCACCCAGTCACCAGGGCTGTTTTCCACTCTGGCAAAGGGACATTGTTGCCATCAGTGACCCCTTCATTGACCTGAACTACATGGTCTACATGTTCCTGTACAATTCCACCCACGGCAAGTTCAATGGCACCGTCAAGGTTGAGAACAAGAAGTTTATTGTCGATGGGAAGGTCATCTCCATCTTCCAGGAGAGACATCGGTTAACATCAAGTGGGCTGAGGCCGGTGCTGAGTATGTCATAGAGTCCACTGGTGTCTTCACCATCGTAGAGAAGGCTGGGGCTCATTTGAAGGATGATCATCTCTGCCCGTCTGCCACCGATGCCCCCATGTTTGTGATGGGCGTGAACCACGAGAAGTATGACAACTCCCTCCAGATGGTCAGCAATGCCTCCTGCACCACCAACTGCTTGGCGCCCCCTGGCCAAGGTCATCCACGACAATTTTGGCATCGTGGAAGAACTCATGACCACAGTCCACGCCATCACTGCCACCCAGAAGACCGTGGACGGCCCCTCTGGGGAACTCTGGCATGATGGCTGTGGGGCTACCCAAAACATCATCCCCGCATCTACT